AGCCATGACAGCAGTAGACTAGCAGCGCAAACAGTAGGGTGAGGGCAGTGCTGTGAAAGAGGCGCTGCTCTTACCGGACAGGGCGGCTCGGGTGGCTCGGTTGCAGGGCGGCTCGGCGGCTCGGCTGCTGGGCGGCTCGGCGGCTCGGCTGCAGGGCGGCTCGGCGGCGCGGCTGCTGGGCGGCTCGGCGGCTCGGCTGCTGGGCGGCTCGGCGGCTCGGCTGCTGGGCGGCTCGGCGGCTCGGCTTCTGGGCGGCTCGGCTGCCGGGTGGCTCGGCGGCTGGGCGGCTCGGCTGCTTGGCGGCGCGGCGGGGCCGCTGAGAGGGCGGCGCCCGGGGCCGCTGGGAGGAGGCGGCGAGGCCGCTGAGAGGAGGCGGTGGGGCCGCAGGTAGGTGGCGGGGCCGCTAGTAGCTGGCGGGGCCGCCGGTAGGTGGCGGGGCCGCTGGTAGGTGGCGGGGCCGCAGGTAGGTGGCGGGGCCAGCACAGGTAGGTGGCGGGGCCGCGGGTAGGTGGCGGGGCCGCTGGTAGGTGGCGGGGCCGCAGGTAGGTGGCGGGGCCGCTAGGAGGTGGCGGGGCCGCAGGTAGGTGGCGGGGCCGCAGGTAGGTGGCGGGGCCGCTAGTAGGTGGCGGGGCCGCAGGTAGGTGGCGGGGCCGCTAGTAGGTGGCGGGGCCGCAGGTAGGTGGCGGGGCCGCACAGGTAGGTGGTGGGGCCGCACAGGTAGGTGGCAGGGCCGCGGAGGGCGGCGACGAGCCGTAGGGGGCCGTGAGGGGCCGCGCGAGGGGCCGTAAGGGGCGTAAGGGGCCGCGCGAGGGGCCGTAAGGGACGGCGCGAGGGGCCGCAAGGGGCGGCACGAGGGGCCGTAAGGGCGGCGCGACGGGCGCGACGGGCCGTAAGGGCGGCACGAAGGGCCGTAAGGGGCGGCGCGACGAGCCGTGAGGGGGCCGCTAAGGGCGACGCGACGGGGCCGTGAGGGGCCTAGCGAGGGCGCGACGGTAGGGGGGGAGCACCCAGGGCGCGACTCGGGCCTGAGCGAAGCGCGCTCCGGGCAGGAAAAAAAATTTCGTGGTGGTGGGCCCTAGGAATCGTTCCCACTAGGGAACCTGCTCGATACCATGAGAAGAAACGAGGAATGGAATGACTAAGGGAAAGTTGGGTACAAAAATGCAAACCCTAGAAAACTGTACCCCATATGTGCTACCCCACTATAGCCTACAGTAGCTCTGTCATATAAATCTGACAGCGTGACCGACGGGTAGAAATACACCAAAACCTTACTGTTTTATGCCATTATTTATGATATTTTTTTTATGCCGGTCATCGAAATATATGAGATGTTATGGTCTCGCGTGGTATGAGACACGCGATGGAATGTAGAAGCTATCGCGGTTAAGATATACAGGAGATAATTCGAAAAACATATTTAGCATATACAATCTTCCTAGTCAAGTAATTTACGCGAATTCTGGTTTGGTTCAATTCGAGTCCTCTGATTGGCTGCGGCACTGATTTTGTGCATGGAACAGTTATCAATCACGTCACGCGTAAAAAATTCCCGCCAAACAGGGCTTGTAGATGAGGAGCTTTATTTAGGGGATATAGGAAAAAACTACTCGTTTCTGATTACGGACTTTGTTAGCGCGGGCTCTCAAACGAGAACATGTGGTCAAAGCCGTCATCAGAAATAGGGAGACTATGCCACTAGTAAGAAACATGGGACTCGGTAAAGTATCAGGTAAATGGGTCAAAGCAGTAACTGTATATAGTGTTTTAACGGGTTTCGTAACTGGTATACGCGTTCAGTCACTAAGTAGGCAAAAATTCACGACAATGGTCACACATGTCGTTGTGATAAGGATCTTTGGACATAATAGGTCTGCCAGAATAGCGTAGCGGACGTTTTTGTTGTGGTAGGAACCTTGTGCATAGTGGATTTGGGTGACACGACACTGTTGCTGTCGTTGCTTCGGTAGTAGCTGGTACGATACTGCCGCACCTTCAGGAATGCTGATATAATTCCCTGCTTACTCCAACACTCCCCTTCATTCTTGAAGGTGTGGCACGTGGCTTCTCTTGACAACTCTGCACAAGTCTGCGCAATACTGAAATTTCTGACGTGGCAGCAGCTTCTTCGTAAAAAGGTCAGCTGCCATCTCGCCAGTTGGGCAGTAGGTGAGCTGAACTTTCCCTTTGTTGATTTCGTCCTTGACGAAGAATTAACGGGGGGGATATGCATTTCGTGCGGTTGACGAAGCCAGGTTGTTCGCGATCTTGATCTCGCTCTAGTTGTCGCACAGTAACTCGAATGACCCAATCATCGCCATTTTTGTTTCTTCCCGAACTGTTGCACTCGCTACAATGAAGTCGGCTTCAGCTGACGAAAGGGTGATGAGCTCCTGCTTTTGGGAGTTCCAAGAAATGGTTGCTGGTTCAGCATCCACGTAGGGAGGGAGTTGAAGATTAGCCGTCATACTCGCTTTGTAGGTCAGGCCGACGTTAGGAGTAGAGATGAAGTATTGTAGGGCGCGTCGCAGATCCGCCATGTTCTCCCCTTTTGGTCGGCGCAAGTACCCGGCGAGCTGGCTATCGGCATACGAGAGGTCTGATCGGCATGTGACGGTGGCAAAGAGCAGACACCCAAGCTGTTGCTGGTAGAGGCGATGGCGGCGGATAATGGGGTGGTGTCGGGCTCGTGGTTAGGGGGAGGGACGTGGATAGGGGTGGTGAGGCTGACGGGAGCGATGCCGAACTTCTTGGCGAGTGTCTTGGCGTACTTCGCGGCTGACAAGTGAATCGTGTCGGTCGACTGTGTCACGTTGAGTACAAGATACTAGGTGACGTTGTGATTCACAGTCACCACGAGCTTCTACTTGATGTCGCTTTCAAAGCGATCAAGCAGCTCCACGTTGTCGCCAGCTCCACGTGCTTAATGAGCACACCATGGAGGTACTGCTGCCACAAGCATGGAGATTGCTTGATCCCATAGAGGGACTTCTGCAGGAGGCTAACGACATCATTCTTTTCTTCAAAGGCCTGTAGTTGCTCGACGTAAATAATGGCGTCGACGATCGCTTACTGAAACGCGTTAGACGCGTCGATCTGGCGGAGCGGGCACTGCTTTATGGCTGCGACGCAGATGAGGATTCACACAGAGTTGTGTCATCTGACAGGTGCAAATGACTTGTCATAGTCGACAAATTGAGTTTGCTCAAAGCCGCGGACCACCCAACGCGCCTTGTATTTGTCGATGGCGCCGTCTGCGAGAGTCTTGCTTCTAAATACCCTTTTTCCGCTGAGAAATTTTCTCCTCTTTGCATATCGGCATGGTACCAGCTTCCAGGTTCTGCGCCTTTGGAGTGCAGCGACTTTAGCAGCCATGGCTGCTCTTCAATTCTGAGCATCGGGTCCCTGCAGAGCCTCACCGACAGTGGTGGTGGGTCCGACGAGCTGTTGGTTACCACGGATCGTGACAGCAAGACACAGGATGCGAAGTCCGGTGAGATTGGATTCGGCTAAATCGGTTATTTCGACCACGTCGTCGTCGTCGCCATGGATGTCGCAAACAGAGTTGTGAGAGGAATTGCGGTTGGGTATTCTTCCATAGGTGAGTGTATTTCTGCACTTGCGTAATCTTGTTGTGCTTGTACTGCTTCGTGTTGATCGAGGTTTGTTGGGAAGAATGTTGCTGTGCCGAGTTGCTCTGTGTCGAGTGTGAAGGGTACCACGCCTGTGGACGGTTCCTCTGGCTATTCTCCTTTTCCAGGTCACTTGCGTAGCTGTGTTCCCCGTGGAATATGTTGTCTGATGCGTTTTGTGCAGTGCGGGTTTGGAGGTACAGTGGCAGCGTTAATTTTTTGTAGGAGAATCAGTCACACGAACGCGTGACTTGGTAGGTGGCGAAGTCGAGGATGGTCAAAGCGTGGTACTCCGGTTCGATGCCGAGGCGGACGCCCCAGCGCGCACGGATTTCAATTTTTCCAGTTCAGGCAGTGTAGGGGCGGTACTTGTCAAACATTATATGTTTACATTGTGTAGGCTATAGTGGGTTTAGCCTTAGGGGGTACAACATTCTAGGGTTTCCTACTTGTACTCCCAATCTTGTTAGTTCACACACACTTGTTCATTCTAACATGGTATCACGAGCCTAGGTTGCTACCTAGGACCGCTTTCTCCTACGGGCCCACTATTCCGCTAGAAGCGCCCTCGTGCGCCCTACCTTACGTGCGCCCTCGTGCGCCTTTCTCTGCTCGTGCGCCCTCGTGCGCCCCTTTTCCTTTTTCTGCTAGTGCGCCCTCGCGCGCCCCGCCCTTCGGTCTGCCCGCGTGCCGTCCTGCAGCCCTCGTGCTGCCTCTTGCAAGCTAGTACGGCCCTCGAGCCGCCCCTGCAGGTCCGTCAGGCCCCCGAGCCGCCTCTGCAGACCCGTCAGGCCCCCGAGCCGCCTCTGCAGGCCCGTCAGGCCCGAGAGCCGCCCCTGCAGACCCGTCAGGCCCCCGAGCCACCTCTGCAGGCCCGTCAGGCCCGAGAGCCGCCTCTGCAGACCCGTCAGGCCCCCGAGCCGCCTCTGCAGGCCCGTCAGGCCCGAGAGCCGCCCCTGCAGACCCGCCGCGCAGCCTCTGCCCGACCGCGCGCCGCCCCTGCAGGCTCTCGCCGACCGCCACGTCGCCCTGCCCGCAGCATCGCCGCCTGCCCGCGGCGTCGCCACCTGTCCGCGGCGTCGCCACCTGCCTGCGACGTCGCCACCTGCCCGCCGCGTCGCCCTGCCCGCGGCGTCGCCACCTGTCCGCGGCGTCACCACCTGCCCGCGGCGTCGTCACCTGCCCGCCGCGTTGCCCTGCCCGCGGCGTCGCCCCTGCCCGCCGCGTCGCTCTGCCCGCCGCGTACCACCTGCCCGCGGCGTCGCCGTCTGCCCGCCGCGTCGCCCTGCCCGCGGCGTCGCCCCTGCCCGCCACGTCGCTCTGCCCGCCGCGTCGCCCCTGCCCGCGGCGTCGCCCCTGCTCGCCGCGTCACCCTGCCCGCGGCGTCGCCACCTGTCCGCCGCGTCGCCCTGCCCACGGCGTCGCCCCTGTCCGCCGCGTCGCCCTGCCCGCCGCGTCGCCCCTGCCCGCGCGTCGCCCCTGCCCGCTGAGTCGCCCTGACCTAACCCGCGCCTGGCCTCTGGAGCAGCCGCCCCTGGCCCCTGGAGCAGCCGCCCCTGCAGCAGCCGCCCCTGGCCACGGGAGCAGCCGCCCCTGCAGCAGCCGCCCCTGGCCACTGGAGCAGCCACCACTGCAGGAGCCGCCCCTCGCCCCTGGAGCAGTCGCCCCTGCAGCAGCCGCCCCTGGCCACTGGAGCAGCCGCCCCTGGAGCAGCTGCCACTGCAGGAGCCGCCCCTGGCCCCTGGAGCAGCCGCCCCTGGAGCAGCCGCCCCTGGAGCGGCCGCTGTGACGGCCCCGCAGTCGCCTCGCTCGTACGCCTGCCCTTCCCACCACTGGTGAGCACTGCCCTGCCCGTGCTGCTACTGCTGTTACTGCTGCTGCTACTGCTTCTACTGCTGCTCCTGGCGTGGCCAGATGCAGCTCCAGGGCCGTCCGCATGTGCCCCTCACGCCCCAGCAGCTTCGTGAGTGGTACGCCAGTTGGGGTTGTCAGGGTGGCAGTAGTGGGAGTCGTCCTGGAGTGGGTAGTTCGGGAGTTTCTTGTAGTGGCCCGATGCAGCAGCCGCGTCGTCTACGCGAGGCTCTTTCGCCCCAGCAGCTTCGTGAGTGGTACGCTCAGAGTAGAGGGTCACTGAGTACTGCTCGCTGCCCGTACGTCATTCGCACAGGTGTCCGGACTGGTCAGCCTTGCGGGACACGTGGTCACACAGAGTCCCACTGCTTCGCCCGTCTGGGCGATGCTTGGCGTACAGAGTTTGGCGACGACGCTGAGCTCCCCGACTGGGTGGAGCTGCTTAGGCAGAGGGCAGATATCTATGCTCTTGACTATGATGCTATCCTCACTGCCATGTATGCATTGTCTACTAGTGCTGAGAGTGCCTGTCACCTGTGTGTGCCGCCTGACCCCGGTATCCAGTCTGCTGCTCTAGGTACTGGTGAGGCTGCTGCACTAGGTGCTGGTGTGTCTGGTGCCCCAGGTGCTGGTGAGGCTGCTGCTCTAGGTACTCGTGAGTCTGCGCCCTCTGGTACTGCGTCTACTGAGGCACTGCACACCTTCACACTGGACTCAGGCGCTTCCCGCTGTTTCTTTCGTGACCGCACTGCCCTTGAGCAGCTTGCTCGGCCAGTTGTTGTCTCCCTCGCTGACCCCTCTGGGGGTCCGGTCATTGCGACCTCCTCTACTGTTCTCCCTTGTCCTGCGGTCCCGTCGGGCACACTGTCAGGTCTCTACCTCCCCTCGTTCTCTACGAACTTGGTGGCGGGTAGTGCGCTCCAGGACGGGGGTGTCCACCAGTTCACCCCTGCCTACGAGCGCGTGACACACTGCACGTGTGCTCGGACGGGCCGTCACCTGGCTACCTTCACTCGGCAGCCGGGGTCGGACCTGTACACACTGACCACTGAGTCCACTCAGGTAGCTGCGTCTGCGTCTGCTTCAGGTCAGCTGTCTGCCCCCTGCTCGTGTCGCTCTCTAGCATACGAGACCGTCCTCTGGCACCACCGCCTTGGTCACCCGTCAGTGCAGCGCCTTCGTGCCATGCACAAACGGTACCTTGTCTCTGGTCTTCCCCGGGTACTCCCTCCCCTCCCACCCTCGCCTGCTCCTCCCTGTCTTCCTTGTGTCGAGGGGCGGCAGCGCGCCGCTCCTCACTCCTCCTCGTTTCCCCCGACGACTGCTCCCTTGCAGACGCTCCACATGGACGTGTGGGGCCCAGCCCGCGTCCGTGGACAGTGTCAGGAGAGGTACTTCCTGATCGTTGTTGACGACTACTCGCGCTACACCACGGTCTTCCCCTTGCGCACCAAGGGTGAGGTCCCTGATGTTATGATCCCTTGGATCCGCGCTTCTCGTCTCCAGCTCAGCGAGCGGTTCCACTCGGACTTTCCTGTCTTGCGTCTGCACTCTGACAGAGGTGGTGAGTTCTCCTCCGACCTCTTGGCAGCCTACTGTGCGGAGCACGGCATCCGCCAGTCGTTCACGCTTCCGGCCTCTCCACAGCAGAATGGGGTTGCTGAGCGCCGCATTGGCTTGGTCATGGAGGTCGCTCGTACCTCCTTGATCCATGCGGCTTCCCCCCACTTTCTGTGGCCGTTTGCGGTCCGGTACGCTGCGCATCAGCTCAACCTCTGGCCCCGTGTCTCCTTGCCGGAGACCTCGCCCACACTGCTGTGGACGGGGGAGGTTGGCGATGCGTCGCGTTTCCAAGTCTGGGGATCTCGGGCTTTTGTCCGCGATACGTCCGCGGACAAGCTCTCCTCCCGCGCTGTTCCTTGTGTCTTCCTTGGCTTTGTCTCGGACGCGTCTGGTTGGCAGTTTTACCACGCCACCTCGCGCCGTGTCCTGCCCTCTCAGGACGTCACTTTTGACGAGTCGGTGCCCTACTACCGCCTCTTCCCCTACCGCACTGCCCCGCTCCCCCCCCCGCCTCTCTTCCTCGCGCCAGGTGCTGCTGTGGTAGACCCCCTCCCCCCTCAGGGTGCCGCTCCCTCAGGTGTGTCCCAGGTAGACCCGGTTGAGCCTGTCGAGGTAGCTGTCGACTCTCGTCCTGCTAGGGGTGCTGAGCCTGAGCGTGCGGAGCCTGGGGGTGCGGAGCCTGGGGTTGCGGAGTCTGGGGGTGCTGAGCCTGGGGGTGCGGAGCCTGCGGGTGCTGAGTCTGGGGGTGCTGAGTCTGGAGGTGCTGAGCCTGGGAGTGCTACACCTGGAGGAGCTCTCTCCTCACAGCAGCTGCGTGAGTGGTACTTACAGTACTGCAGCTTCAGGAGAGGGGCTTCTGGAGCTAGGAGTGCTGCTGGAGCTGGTGCTAGTACTTCTCCTCCTAGGCAGGAGCTGCCCTCTCCCCAGCGGCTCCGAGAGTGGTACGCTCGGCGCTGCAGTCTCCGGAGTGGCGCTCCTAGTGTCGCGGACCCTGGTGCTGGAGGTGCTGCTGCTGCTGGCGGTGCTGCTGGCGCTACTGGAGGTGCTGCTGGTGCTGGAGCTGCTGGAGGTGCTGCTGCTGGCGGTGCTGCTGGCGCTGCTGGAGGTGCTACTGGTGCTGGAACTGCTGGAGCTGCTGGAGGTGCTGGTGCTGCTGACGCTGCTGGAGGTGCTGCTGGTGCTAGTGCTGCTGGAGCTGCTGGAGGTGCTGCTACTACTGGAGGTGCTGCTGGTGCTGCTGACGCTGCTGGAGGTGCTGCTGGTGCTGGTGCTGCTGGAGCTGCTGGAGGTGCTGCTACTACTGGAGGTGCTGCTGGTGCTGCTGACGCTGCTGGAGGTGCTGCTGGTGCTGGTGCTGCTGGAGCTGCTGGAGGTGCTGCTACTACTGGAGGTGCTGCTGGCGCTGCTGCTGCTGCTGGCGGTGCTGCTGGCGCTGCTGGAGGTGCTGCTGGTGCTGGTGCTGCTGGAACTGCTGGAGCCGCTGGTCCTGGAGGTGCTCGTACTGGAGGTAATGGAGCTGCTGGGACTGGGCCTGCTGAGGGGGTTGGAGCTGGAGGTGCTGAGCGGCCGCGGCCGTACTACGTTCCGCTCCTTCAGCAGGTTCTTGGTCTCCTGCCCTCTACTGGTCCTTCTCCTCCCCTACTGAGTCCACCGTCTGTCCAGTCGCAGTCACAGTTACAGTCTGCCTCTCCGTTGCCTGCCCCTTCTCCTTACACTGCGCCGACGGGTAGTCTTACGGAGCGTCGTGAGCCTGAGTCTCGTCCTCCGTCGCCTGAGTCTAGTCCTGCGTCTCCTGAGCCTCGTCCAGAGTCGCCTGTCCGCGCTGCCCGCACTCGTCGTCGTGTTCCGCGTGAGCGTCCTCCTCCTGTCCTTGGCACTCACTATATGACCCTGCGTCCTTCCACTGCTCCGCAGCGTGTCCCTCTGCCGTCTCCTCCTGCGTCCTCTCTTCCTGACGTTGCTGACCCGTCGTCAGACCTTACTCGTGCTGCCAGTCCTACTGTCGCGCGTCTCCTTGCCACTGTTGTCACTGACCCTACCTTTGAGTCCTCTGCTGCGTCTGCTCTAGTCGCTGAGCTTGTGGACTTTGCTGCCGCCTGTCGTCTAGACTATGCCGCTTGCCTTGTTGCTGAGTCTGAGTCTGTCTGTCCTCCGTCCGTCGGGGGTGAGTGTGCTCTTGGCACGGACGTCCTTGAGGACAGACAGGAGGAGTTTGAGTGCTTTGCTGCTGCTTTACCTCATCTCGTGTCCATGCTGATTGCCCCTAAGGGAGACCCGGATGCACCAGACATCCCGACCCCACGCTCCTACGCAGAGGCGATGGAGGGTCTCTACTCCTCTCAGTGGCAGACAGCCATGGACGCAGAGATGGCTTCCTGGAAGTCCACAGGCACCTACGTCGACGAGGTTCCCCCACCTGGGGCGAACATCGTCAGTGGCATGTGGATTTTCAGGGTGAAGCGGCCGCCGGGTTCTCCGCCTGTCTTCAAGGCGCGTTACGTTGCTCGAGGCTTCAGTCAGCGAGAGGGAGTTGACTTCTTCCAGACCTTCTCCCCGACCCCGAAGATGACCACTCTTCGGGTTCTGCTGCACGTCGCTGCTCAGCGTGACTACGAGCTCCACTCTCTTGACTTCAGCACTGCGTTCCTACAGGGCAGCCTACACGAGGAGATCTGGCTGCGCCGCCCACCTGGCTTCACTGGGTCGTTCCCTCCTGGTACCCAGTGGAGCCTCCGGCGGCCAGTCTACGGTCTCCGCCAGGCACCCCGTGAGTGGCACGACACACTGAGGACTACGCTTGCGGCTCTTGGGTTTGCTCCTTCTACTGCTGACCCGTCGCTGTTTCTACGCACCGACACCACTCTGCCGCCGTTCTACGTTCTCGTGTACGTCGATGACTTGGTCTTTGCTACTGCTGACACTGAGGCACTCGCTCACGTGAAGTCGGAGCTGCAGAAGAGACACACGTGCACAGACCTGGGTGAGCTGACAAGCTATCTTGGCTTGCGGATCACCCGGGACAGAGCACAGCGCACCATCACCTTGACTCAGTCACACATGGTGCAGCAGGTCCTTCAGCGCTTCCGCTTCACGTACTCCTCGCCTCAGCCCACTCCTCTGCCTACTGGTCACTCGCTCTCAGCTCTGCCTTCGGATGAGTCCGTAGAGCCGAGTGGCCCGTATCCAGAGCTTGTGGGCTGCCTCATGTACCTGATGACCTGCACTCGACCTGACCTTGCATACCCTCTTAGCATCCTAGCACGCTATGTCGCTCCTGGCCGTCACCGGAAGGAGCACATGGATGCCGCTAAGAGGGTGTTGCGCTACTTGTGCAGTACGTCGGGCATGGGGCTTGTGCTTGGAGGACGGTGCGACGTTGTCCTCACTGGACACTCAGACGCTTCTTGGGCTGACGACCAGGCTACGCAGCGGTCGTCTCAGGGTTACACCTTCAGCCTTGGCTCTGGTTCTGTTTCCTGGCGTTCTACACGCTCTTCCTCTGTTCTCAGCTCCAGTTGTGAGGC